TAATCTAGCATTCTATCTTCGTCCAGTTCAGTTTTCACTCCTCGCCGCAGATGCCCACCCACATCGACAACACTTTGAGCTCCTACGATCCCTTTCCGTAATCGCCACTATCCTTCATCCGTGTCCTTTGTGGTCGCTTCGGCCTCGTCCCTAGTGTTTCTTCTTTTTTTCAAGATCCGTCTGCACCAGTTCTGTCGTTCCGTCTTATTTTTCTCTCACAAATCACTGGTCCGTCTATCCAGCTGGTTTTTTTGAACAGGAAACTGTTTCGATCCGGTTCCTTAGGAAATGAATGCTGATGATTGAGGTTAATTGTCGAACGGTTTTCCAATGCATTTCCGAAGTAAGAGAAGTCTGAGTCTGAAGTAGTGGGGAAATAGAGGCTATATATCAAAGATCGGGTGGAATGTCGGTTTAATGCTCCAGAAGAAGAGCTGGGTTCACATCACGCGTTTCGAATAACAGAAAATCTGAACCTAAGTACGCGAAAGTAAATTGGATGTTAGGATCCTGAGCTTAGTTAATTAATATGTGGATCAAACTTAAGGACTTTCTACATTCCGGAGTACCGGAAACACTAGGCGTGTAAAACCGCGTATGATTTGGGTCTATTGTTTTGGTTGTGGCTAGTTCCCCTAAAACATGACGATTACGAATGATCGAAGTAAACGCTACTCAGGAACTGAATTGCAATATCGATCACATCCGCTTCACCCTGTTGACATCTAAGTCGTTTATACAAGTGTCTTGTGTAGAATTCGTCAATTTCCAATATGGTTGATTTCCACACGGCCTTGTTTTGTTTGAAACGAAAACTCAGTGTTATCGGACGTGTTCTTCGAATCGAGTCATCTTCACGGGCTTCACATCCCCAAGCCATTTCTGAAGTTAATTCACTGTCGCATGTGAAAAATTTTCTTCTTTGGAACCATCAGCGAGGACTGGGTACGTGGAGTAAAGTAACAGGGATAACAAGGATGGAGAAGCACTTGCGAGGTCTCGATGTTAGTAGTTGTGGTTGTTAAGCGAAAAACGGTGCATTGTGCGTAGCATTGTTAGTGATTGCGGGGAACACAAACGAATAAAATGTTTCCAATGAAGGCTAACGCTGAAATGAGCGAGATGTGATCCCTGCCACAAGTTCGCAAGGACGGGTCGGGCTACACAAAATGAACGGCGATTTTATCAGCATTCCAGTTTGCGTTGTTCGTTTGAGGTCTCCGGTCTCTGACCTTCGGTTATATCGACCGATTCGTGCAGCTAATGAGACCCAATCAGGTTGGGACAGCTGTACAGCGCTTCCCAGTTCATGCGTTATTTGCTCCATACATTAAGAAATTCACACAGTAAAGATCTGTAGCGAATGATGCGATTGGTTATCGTGGGATTCATTCACTCGATACTTTACTGACTCGGATGGTTATGGAAAGAAATGAGGTTTTAGGATCGTGCATTCGCTGAATGCGTACAACTTTTCTGAGATCTGACAGATAATAAACAACATAGCTATTGTATTGTGTGCTATCGATCGGTCCCGGGATGTGCACCCGTTAAGTGGTTTCTGTCACTGCAACCGATAAATAAGGTCATCTGACATTGAAGTGCCAGTACTGAATCAATTAGTAATTACTTTCAAAGCCCTTGCGAAATGTAGTTAATTCCAGGTGGAAGGTTACGAAAATTTAAGCCGGTGGTTTGCATCAGTTAACGGTACAGAATTGTCGAAATACACTTACAAATCTCTATTCCATCGTTCTTTTTGTTTGGTTCCCATTTTGCTATCATTGAATTCACGTTCGACGTGAAGCCCGAGAAAATCCCTTGTTGGCTGAACCAAGAAGGGTGGAACCCGGACGATATTAGAAAAAGAGCTCAATGGCAGGTGTAATGGAATAGTACCAAGCGCCAGTTTACGATTCATTCTAGATGACATGGGACCGTAAATTCTGTTGGTCTCCTGGAGCTAACCCTGTCATTTTCTAGAATAACGTCCAAGAAACAATCAGTCACTGATTTTTCAGACATCCCCATTGGAACAGTGTCAGTCCGTCACAGAACAGCAAACGGGGATAGCAAATTCACTCGTTTCTGGTAAAGCATCACATTGAATTATTTTATAAAAGATTTGGATCGTTGGCACGAGGGCGGTAAAAGTCACATCAAACTGGATCGTTGTGAATCCGAACTACAACTTGTATTTTTGTTTGACCCTCAGCAAGTTTTATAAAGCTCTTAGCCTGGAAACGGTGCACTCAGCTGGGAAACCACCAATATATCTGCATTATACCTAAATACGTGATTCAACCGAAATGCACCCATGTTCCCGAGATCGGAAAGGGTTTTGATCAGAAAGGCTAACGCACATATCAACTGCCGATGTATTTATAAGGTAAGAACAAATCAACCGAGTTCATGCATTACCAACCATAGGTGGAACAGTGGTTCATCACCATCAGAATGCTGTTTTCGAGTTCGAGTAATTCCTGATATTGGTGAATAGTTTTTTATTGAACAAGGCACCTTCATATGGCCCAACTGCACTTCTGGTTTCCATAGCTCAGTGAAGGTTAGGTGCGCTCCTGTTTTTAGGGGATCGATCAAATGTGGCTTTCTAATTGTCAGAATCGATAGATCTATCTTTGCGTGCCACAATCTGATCCCGTTTCTTCAACATTTGATTCCTATTTGCGAAAAATGTGTCCGTTCAATGAAATGTGCAATTGTTGATACTCCCCGTTGATGTGTATGTACATCAAGAGCTGATTAAGAACGGTGTTAAATTGGTATTTGCATAGTCTTTCCTTTTGTTGCCTTAGGGCGCAGAACGTACATTCCCGATATGAATGGACGACGTTCTCCTGGGTTGGCATAATTTAGAACTGCTTCCTTTGTTTTAGATATTTAATCAACAGAAATGAACAATGCTTGAGTGAAAAATTACAAAGATTCCTAGATAAAAATGTTATGTCCTAGGCTGTCTATTAGATCATGGATCGTGCAAAGATGAGTGTCTTCCGAAAGCCTCTGAATAATCGACAGAACGGTTCTTCGATAAGCGGATTAACGATCAAAACTCTGTGATGGTATGGGATGCCTGCTCGATCAACGGCAAAACCGAACTCGATGTACTTCATGGGGCCTAGTACTCTGATGCCCATACTACATTGGAGAGGTACCTTTGACCAGCGATGGCATCGAATGAACATCCTGAAACCATTTTCCAGCAGAATAATACCGCAGTTCATAACTGGTATTTAACGAATGCGAGATTTTATTTTGTGACGTGAAAACAATGACGTGGCCTACGTGCGACCCAAATTAGAACCTAATAAAAAAAAACAGTTTGACCATTCTTACCCGAACGGTGAACGGACGCTCCAAAGTGGAACATAGCAAACAAATGCAGGATTCAAAATCTTGTAGACAGTATGCTGAGAAGAGGTGTGTGGAAATTTCGAAGTGGAACATTCAATGCACTCGGTACCAAACTGACTTCAATGAGCAAGTTCCCGGGGGAGTGTTATACTTTTATCGCAATGAAAATTCAGTTTTTTCGATATATCTTCATTTAATAAATAGAATTCACTGAAATTTCTTATTCCGACTTTTTACTGCTGTGCATGTGGGAGAGGAGATATTTCAAAAGTCCACCAACGCCAAAGAGGTGGGTGGTATAATACTTTTGACGTGGGGTATATTTCATCCAGCTCTAACACATGCATGGACACCACCTACGCTTGGGTATCAGATGAGCTACGGGACTGCCCAGACAGACCTGGTCTATCCACGTAGGGTTCACTCACCCGAGTTAGTTAGAATGCCCCAATTCACATTTAAGCTACCTGTGCTGATTTTTCCTTAAAATAGTTCACCAGATTCCATCGAATGAACTCTAGGACCAATAATTTTTCAAATCATTTCGTTTGGCAAATAATGGAAGTTTGGGGTGGGGTGGGTGGGCGAGAATATCAATGCTCTCAGTATCTCCACGTACACTGGCCGGTAGGGTTGGTGCGCTGCTCACAAGCCCGCTTGTGTTCGACACCCACCGGGGCTACGGAGCTTTCCGTAATCTATCGTTCAAATTCTGACTCCCCCCCCCTCCCCGTGGTGTGAATTATTATCGAATACGTTTAATATCAATTTCAACAAGAGTTGATAAAAGGAACATTGATACTCACGTTTTGAGGAGTAATAGATCAGAATGGATAGTGTTTATTGTGCCAAATGTAACACCATTTACCGTAGCAACAAGTAAAACAATAGTGAAATTTAATTGATAGGATGCAATGCAAGAAGCCGAACCATGAATTCGAGAGAAAAAATGATATCAGACTAAGTAAAGTGAGACCAGGTAGCCGCCGGTTACTATCGAGTTTGCCAAGAAACAAGTGCTTTGTATAAATGCACACATACGTTCATACACAAACAGCACACGTACCTACCGTTGGCGGTCCTCACACTAGACTTTGACTATCTATTGACCAATCACGTTGTGTCATGTGCGACTGATTGTTATCGATCTACCGCCTTGTTCATGACCTGTATGACCATCTGGGGCTGCGGCTTGGTTTGTTTCGCCCTTGAATTACTGTAATCCCCAGCTAACTAATTCAAGACTTAACTTTCCGTGCATGTTACTACTCTTTCCGTTGCATGCAACACAAAGTATACCTGACTATTATTATTTTGACGTTAACATATTCAAACTTATTTTTGTTTGCACACACCGGTTAGCCGCTGCTTGTGAGTAGGCGTGAATACGTTTCACCCACGTGAACCCAAATGCACTTGTGTCTATTTGCGAAGGCAAACCGATCAGTGAGGCCGGCTAGCCTGACTGTAAGCAAACGATCGTACAGATAACAGAAGAATTGAGTTCGTCTGCACAGGGTGTGTGTGCAAGAGCAGGTTGGTTTACTTTTTGCTTCCCGGACTCAAAACACGATATCTGGAGAGAATACGCTAACGATTGCTGAGTGACAAGAAGGATTGTTTTCACATGTGTAAATACTTCCATGTGATATGGTAAACTAAACTTTAATGCTACTTTGAAGAAAAATAAAACATGGACTATTTTTAGGCGCATCGATTTCTGTAGTTCCCGTCTCATATAGATCTTCCACCTGTGCACTAATTCTAGAAGCTTTACTGACACACACACTCTCTTCTTAGTTCTTATCGCACTGAACATGATTGTGATTCCTATCGATTTCTCTGTGATCCCTGACATCCAACCAATGTGACGGAATTTTTCGCCAACATTTCAATGAATCTCAATGACCAACAACGTGGCACGATTGTACACCTCTAGTGAGCTCGATCATTGACAGCGTGTGTATTGAGCCGATTAAAATCAAATAAGACAGTTTGCCTATTTGCTCCACTTTGATTGTTCTGGTATGGCTGTCATTACACATTCCCCCTTTGAAATATACAAACAATGAGTTCGAGTTAACATGTGACTCACTCTCAATTACCGATCCTGCACATCTCCACATACGTCACGTCGAAGTCAAAAATTAGAAATATATGTAACTGTGGTTGCTTTTCCAGTCTAATAGAGTTTCGCACAAATGGATCAATCTGCTGTTCACAGAAAGATGAGCAACATCAGAAATTATCCTCTTTCCCTGCACTGCAACGGATGTTGAATTTTAAGACTTGTGAAAGCTTCATCCACTTTGTGATTGAAAGAATCGATTGTGGGCGCAAAAACAACGTGTAGTGGTAGAGAATTCCAAGTAGTGCGCACTCAGAGGGCAAATGAATGACGTCGGCATTCTAGTAGACATTTTTGGAGCACTAGTTTGAATGAGTGCCCACTGAGGTGAGAGTTAGACGACAAGACAAAGAGTGAAGGACATGGGTGGTCTGGGT